TGTATCCACTGATTACAAATGTTACAGGCTACAGATGTGGGCTTTTCATCACATTGTCTATTACATACCAGACACAGTGGGAACTGGGGACTGGGGACTCCAGTATCATCTGACCTTGACCTCATTTCCATGGTTCATTGGTTAAGTTTTTACATTTTGGTCTGTTTTTCAAATACCATAAGCAATGGGTCAACTATATTTGGTGTATGGAATAATTGTAAGGTGTACATACATGTCCGTGCGACAGTTTTTATCTAACCATGACCTCATTGTCATGGATCTTTAAAAATGTTAAGTTTATGTGATACTTGTAGTGAAACCTTTATCTTTAAGATTTTCAACATAAAATCAATGGTCAGTAAAACAGGCGAGACATTTCAGCGTGTGCACTCTTGTTATTTCATTATCAGATATATCGATGATATTATGTCACTGAAAAACCCACATTTTAGTGAGTGCTCGCATTTCGTGCACCCCAGTTAACCTGACATTTATGATATGACCGAAACAAGGTGGTCAGTGTTTGGATCTTTTCTTGATATTGACATTGATGGACGACTTCAAGGGTTTTCAAGCTAGGATCTTATTCTATTACAAATGTGTCGATTTCGGCTTTCCGATTGTCAACTTGCATTTATCAGTAATATACCCTTTGTCCCGGCATATGAGCTTTCCTCATCTCATTTAATACGGTTACGCCCATGCATGTACACATTATACGGACTTAACAACGGATTTACCCCTGACGCAAAAAAAGACGTATGTTCCAGCAGTTACCAGGAAAAACGACTAAAATGGACACTGCATAAATTTTTACTATATACAAACGCTCAAGGGACATGATTTCGCGATCTTGTAGTTTATATATCTGGAAAGTCGTCTTATCTGATCCTGATTTGTATATTTTAAACATTGTTAACGACTGTTACCTCCTAATTTCTACAAGCCAAGCTGTTTCTGTATCTGTAAATGTACGTCGAAGATACCAATTCCGACTTTTACTCGAAAGGAAAAATAAAGAAAACAAAAAAATATTTGAATTAACTAAAAGAGAGGCGAAAGATATCAAAGGGACATTCCTAGTTCACATGCAATTAAATTTGATGAGTTTGCCATATATAATAGATTGGACAGAAATAGTTCAATTTTTTTTGCATCACACACTACTTTTCCATTTGAAAAGATTAGAAACAACATAAGAAAACTACTTGAAATTGAAATGTATAACCAGAGACATATAATACAAGTGATTCGCAACTCTAGTAGAATCTAAGTAACGACCAATGAAATGTCTCTGCCAACGGAAAACCAATTATTACCGATTGGCAAGATGGGAAGATTCTACGCCTGACGATTTTGCTAATTGCTAATGCCGATACTTTCCACAGCTAAAGCATACGTGTAAGTATATTCAAAAGATACAAAATACCAATTCTAATAATTTGTAATTAATATAATGTGCTGAAATGACGAGAGTAATCAAATACAAACAAATTTAAAACTCGGCCCATATTCTACTTCACATCCTATTGCCGTAGAACCCATATGCTCTCCCATTCTGTTTCGTAAAACTTGGAAATATGCGAATAAATATACAATTGTATGGGGCTATAATACTTCCAAATGTTATGTCGTGAAAATAAGACCAGTTTCGTAAAATTTGATCCAATAATTATTTCTAAAAATATCAACAAAAGTGACGATTATTTTCTTATTGATACCCAAAGCCAGCTATGGTGGTACTACCATTCTGTCTCGTAAAACTTGGAAATATGTGAATAAATATACAATTTTATGGGATTATGTTACTCCCAAATGTTATGTCGTGAAAATAAGACCATGCAGTTTCGTAAAATTTGATCCGATAGTTATTTCTAAAAATATCAACAAAGGTGACCATTATTATTATACACAAAGCGAGATATGCTAGTACTACCAATCTGTTTCGTAAAAATTAGAAATTTACAAATACATGTACCATATTATGGAGTTATATTACTCCGAAATACTATGCCGTGAAAATAAGACTGATTTCGTAAGATTTGATCCGATAGTAATTTCTAAAAATATCAACAAAGTTGACTATTATTTTCATATTTATCTTTTTGTCTATACCCAAAGCCAGCTATGCTGTTACCATACTTTTATTTTTTTAAACTCTTGACACATGTCAGGGGTGTAAAATTTTCAGTGTTCTTTTCAAAGTGGAAGTGTGATGTGATCAAATAAGGTATTTTTCTTTTTTTATATTAAACCGGCTAAATAGTGAAATTGTTCATGGACAAATTTCCTTAAATCAGTCCATCATTTTTGTGCACTATGAAATTTATAGCCTGCATTTTGTTGGGCAAATTATTCATTTTTCATCCTTTTTATTTTCTTCTATTCTGAAGTCATTTTTATACGACCGCAAACATTTTTTGGGGATCGTATAATGGTATGATGTCGTCGTCGTCGTCGTCGTCGAAGACACATTGGTTTCCGGACAATAACTTTAGTTTAGATAAATGGATCTCTATGAAATTTTTTAGGAAGGTTCAATACCACAAAAGAAAGGTTGGGCATGATTTTGGGGAATATTTAGGAATAAGGGGCACAAAAAGGGGCCCAAAACAAGCATTTTTCTAGTTTCAGGATAATAACTTGTGTATAAGTATTTCGATTGCTCTGAAACTGTACCACAATGTGAAATACCACAAGTAGAAGGTTGGGATTCATTTAAGGGGATATGGCGCCAACAGTTTAAGAATTGAGGGTCAAAAAGGGGCCAAAAACAAGCATTTTCCAGACAATAACTTGTGTGTAAGTGTATGGATCTCTCTAACATTGTACCACAAGGTTCCATATAACAAAGGGAAGGCTGGGATTGAGTTTGGGGTTAATTGCCCCAAACATGTAGAAATTAGGGGCCAAAAAAGGGACAAAAAAAGGCCCAAAAACAAGCATTTTTCTAGTTTCCAGACATTAACTTGTGTGTAAGTGTATGGATCTCTCTGAAATTGTACTACAAGTTTCCATACTACAAAGGAAAGGCTTGGATTGAGTTTTGGGGTTATTGCTCCGAGGGGGTTTCAAAAAGTGGGGGGGGGGGATTTTTTTTCCCAATTTTTTTAAGGGATTCATAAAAATTTTGAATTTTTGAAAAGTTTCAAGAAAAAAACTTCAATTGCACAGTATTGCGCAATGGATTTTTAAGATCTTTGACCACATTTATTTTGTGTCAGAAACCTATATAATGTTAAATATTTGATCACAATCCAAATTCAGACAGTATCAAGCTTGAATATTATATCCGAATTTGAACTGTTCAGGGTTCGACCTCTGCGGTCGTATCAGGCTGCGCTCAGCGAAGCATTTTATTCATTTTTCTTTGTATTATATGTCTCTGGTATAAAGGTCTCTTATGTTAGTTACAAAAGATATAAAGTTCATTGTACCTGGACATGCGCAGACACAATAAGACTTTAAAGGTCTTGATTGAAACAATTTGTTTTCGTTATCGCAAGATGACAAACGGGAAGAATTTTTTTACCTACTGTACATTTTTCGTTCCTTAATAATGATGTTACATTGACCTTTCTTCTCAAATGTCTGTTTTTCAATTGGTACTATATAAACACATTTGCACTTACATCTCCGATTTCTTAAAGGCTTTTACAACAAAGCGACGTTTTACCTTAACAAACAACTGTAAAACAGTTTTTCAAATCTCCTCTTTTGGCTGGATAGTTTTTTCGTAATTGTTATAATTTTACTAGTGTTGTGAGGGAATATCTATTTATACCCAACTTGTAGAGATTTTTGATAATATGATTTTTGATACGGTCAGAGACTTATATACACATATATGTCTCTAATACGGTATAGACAAGACCGTCGCTGAAAATGCAGTGATTGTTTGGTGAGGTAAAATAAGTTACAGTTTAAAATGATTTCTACCACTGGGTCGATAATCTGCTGGTGGACTGTTAGTCCACGAGGTTATATCCAGCTCAGTACTTTGCTACAGGCACGAAACCACGGATATTGTTTGATTGAAATTGGTTTTTGAACAAAACTAATGGGATCCATTGAAATTAAGGAATGCATTTCCTTCATGCATAGCTCAGATTTCTTGTACGGTTTTGGTGGTGTACTTTTGGTTCTTCTGATTATGTCGAAATACGCATTTAGAGCAGTAAAAATGGTTCGGTTTTATGTGGTTGACCTCTTGATGATTTTGGTTTTATTATCTTGTCTTGATGTCCTGTTGATGTATGCCAACATTTGCTCGTAATTCTATTTTGATATTGGCAATAAAAGAGAAATATAATCCCAATATTTTAGTTTCAAATGATATTGAACAAAGTCTCGAATTTGCGATTAACTATAAAATATGCATTCGTGCTCTAATTATGCATGATATGATAGATGCATTTTATCTATATGTACGTAATACTGTAACTATGGTTGTAGGTGGTACAAGAAAATTTATATTTGACGGTTTTGGCTGTACTATTATGACTCTCTTCGTTTATATGCTTTCAATATTTTTTTATATTTTTTATCCATTCACTTTTTTTTATTATTTTATTTCTGAAGATATTGAACAAGATACGAGAATTTGCACAAACAATATGCACTTATGCTCTGACGATTCAATATATTATGGTTGTTTCGTGTATTTTAAAGTCAGTCTGAGGGTTTTATCCTATTGTATTATTGACATCTATGTAAATTAGTAAAGATGTTCAAATGTAGCAACTACACTCGTTTGTTGTGCACAATACTACAGTATCATGCAGTATTAGTAAGTCATATTTCCTAGGATATTCCTAGCATATTTACTTTATGGTTAGATTTTCATAGTCGGATACCGTGTATTGTGCGAATACATTCCTTCCACATCTTAGATATAACAACACACAAGTAAACTGATTGAAAGACGATATTTGCTATAACTTCTGTTCTGATCCAGCTGCATTACGATTTTGGACTAGACGATTAACAAAAAAGACAGATGGAATCACGAGCTTTTAATAATCTACTCATGGTTATCTTACTCTGAGACTGGCTTTTACGCAAAGGAAAAGACAAAACGTAATGAATAGCATATCAGTTTCTGTCAGAATATAATGTACAGTGTAGCAAAAATATACGTCGGCATAACGGTGTAACAAAAAACTTATAGCACCTTTTGGAAAAGGGCAATTCTCAACCTGTCCCATCCAACGTTATCTTCATTATCAAGCCATTCAATAAATATAACATCATCCCAAATCTGACTAAGTTCAGAAGGAAAGTTTTGCACTGTAATGTCGTGCTTTTTTATTATAATGATGTGTTGCAGATTTCCGGCATATTTTTCGTATTTTGCTCTTTGTATTTCAAACTTCCCCCATATACGATCTTGAAATGAATCATCTATAACAAAAATCACGTTCCTGCTATTACTTATAGAATCTGCAATTGCATCAGAGCATATTTCTCCACCAAGAATGTCCCGGTCGTCTAAGCACGTGATCATCTTCCATGATTTTTCAAGTTTATATATTAGAGTATTTACTGTCCAGTTTAAACTTTGGTCACCGTAGGATATATATATGTCATATTTAGATTTTAACTTCATTCTTTCCTCGATAACTAATCTAAATCTTCTATAAATCCAATAAGCAAGTTGCCATCTGAAATTTACTGCGAGGGCAAGTGGTATAGTTAACACAACAAACGAAATAAGTAGAGCTATTCCTATTCGGAGCCAATGCCCACTGTTGCAGTCTATAAATAGTTCATGATATTTCTGCATCACTTCTGGAATAGTCATGTCTGTACCATTTCTCAGCGTGCACCTGTAACCTCTTTTAGGTATATCCAAACTTATATTAGTTTTGGTGATCCATTCAAGAAAATCTCGAGTATCACACGTACATTTCAAACGGTTTCCCTTAAGAAAAAGTTGAAATGTATTTCCATACTTTAAGTTTTGTTGTTCAAGCCATTTGCGTACTGTTTCATTAATTGATTGAATAAAATTGTTATGAATATCAAGCAACTGTAAATTCGAAAGAGATAAAACTGCCTTTGGTATGTCATAAAGCAGATTATATGATATGCTGAGGTTTTGTATTTCTGTGTTGTTCAAAAAGGCATCTTCCGGTAGAAACCATATATTATTATTTGAAATGTCCAATACCTCAACTGATGGGATAAATTGTAAGGCGTTTGGATATTTTTGAAACATGCGACCTAGTCTAGCATATTCCATTTTAACATTTGTTGTATTTACTAGTTCTGGAATCGATGTTGGTAATGAAAAAATTGACGATTTTGTGCCTGAAAAGTTGATAAACCGCAGCTTATTTGGCCCATCAAATTGTATTATCGGAAACCAATCAACATTAAAGTAGCTAATGTCAAGATACTGTAAATTTGGAGCCGTCAGAATTAAAGTTTTCCCTTTAAATTCTAGTTTTCTAAGGAAATGTGATAGTCTTAATGTATGCAAGTTTTCGGGTAATTTTAAACGAAATGCTGCAGCCTGGCTTTTCTCTACATATTCTTGAGTTGCAGTATAATATCTTCGATCAATGTATTTCGTTGATGTATATGAATTTTTTTCTAATGCGTTTTTGTCGTCATTATACAACGAATCTTGGTCAAAGAACAGTCCAGTGTTTATGTTTGTAAAAGGTTGATCATTGTGAATGTACTGTATTTCCCCAGCATAAGACAAAGGATTGTACGAATAATCAAATAAAGTTAAATTTACCAATTTGTAAGTGAGTGGTAGGATCTCTTGGAATTTATTAAACATTGGAAATCTGTTTCCAGACAACACAACTTTCTTTAGACATTCTGGTCTATCAAAGTATAGTAGAGATTTAGGTTTAAAGTCTACAATTCCACACTCAGCTAAAATCAGATTGGACACGCATATCTTTTGTAAGTGTCTCATCATTTCAGAAGTTAATATAACAGCCTCCGGAGAAGCCAATAATTGTAGCTCACGATAACCAGAATTCACCCTTATGAACTCAATTGTTTCCATTTCCTTATTTTCAAAAGGACGAAGAATCATGAGTGCATCTGAAAGCGACATCGTAGATTTGTGTAATGTCTTGAGCTTTTTCAATGGCATCAAGACTCCTGCCTCTGCACTTTTGATATGGAGGCATTTTCTAAAATGTAATTCTTTGATATTTCTAGGTAAATATGTAAACGTTCTATTTTTTAAATCATTTACATAGCAATAGTCGAATACTAGTTTTTCTAGATTAATCAGATTTAGCAAGCCTGCATTTTGGAAATCAGAATTATGAATAAGATCCATAGCAAGAAATTGCAAGTTAATGAGGTTTCCTAGGAACGGATAATAATAATTAAAACTGTTGTAATTTCTGCTGATGTCAAGGTTACGTAATGATATCAAATTATTGAATACGTCACTGGCCGTATGTTCTGTTGAAATATTCAATTTGTTATTGCTTATATCGAGTGTAGTAAGTCTAGTTAATCCATTGAATGAACTGCACTGCATCGTTGTGAGCTGGTTTCCGTGTAAACTTATATATTGAAGTAATTGGTAACGTGCGAAAGCATTAGATTCTATTTCCTTAATGTTGTTTTTGCTCAAGTCCAGTCTTTGAATTGTTTCCGGCAATCGTCTCGGAACATCTGTTAAATTCCTTTGTTCACAGTGTGCAGTACGTTTGTAAATTTCACACTTGGATTCACATACACAATTCTCCCAAAGCAATGCCAGGTGAAACAAAACTAAAACAAAAAAAAACATTGTTTAAATATTTTGTCCTTTCAAGTGCAACTTAAATTAATGTAACAGTAGAACTACACATTTTGTTCCTCATTCACTGGAATTTACATCTCTTTTGAGATGTTTTTGTATGAATAGATTATTAAATGCAATGTTAACATGAATTTGAACTTGAATTGTGTGTTGAAAAATATCAATTTCCTCGTCATGCACCAATAAATTAAAGAATCGCCCCATTTTATGCTGTTGTAAAAACAAGGAAATAATTATATTTGATATGAATACTACATACTATGGAATGGTCTAATTGTCACGAGGTGTTGAGTATGGAAACGCGTATTAGTCACCAGTTGGTCAGTTGTCAACACAACTTGACGACAAAAACAAGTGGAAAAGTTGCCTTGTTGTAGAACTTGTACACTTTAACAAGTTTACTTGTTTAATTAATAATTCAACTTGTAGACTTACTACAAATTGACTTGTTGCGTCAAGTTGTGTTGAGAACTGATCAACTGGTGACTAATATATGGAAACGTATATTAGTCACCAGTTGATCAGTTCTCAACACAACTTGACGACAAAAACAAGAGGGAAAGTTATCTCACTCTTCTGACTTTTCTTATGTAATCTTGTCCTGTTCTGAAAAAGGATTATGTCACCAAGTAAACATATGAAAGTTAACTTGTCGTGAATGTTTAAATCGTGTTTACTTAATAAAAGACCACATGACGTAAAAAACCGTGGGAACAATTTAACCGCGGGAAATAAGAGCACACGTGACGCTGCTACAAGTCGTTGAAGAAGCACCTAGCACAGCTGTCCGCTCTGTTTCACGTAATGTAACATACTGGTCACTTTTTCCTTCAATTCCCTATATATTCAATTCCTACGGCTAAAGCATACATTTCGAAACTCTGTAATTCGAAAACGAGTCCGGTTACCACATATTTTTTTTCATTTTTTGGTGTATTTCAATAGTGTCTTTCCATATGCAAAATTTCATGAAAATTGTTGGAACGTCGATTTACGGGGTCCCACCTTAAGGGCATACGATACAGTTACAGGGGAGGTAATGATGTTGCTAACGTAAAATGTTATTTTCGCGACGTCAAACTGCGACATACCGGGAAAAGATGCATTTTTCAACTGATTTTTATCATTCAGACTGATTTAACTTGAAAACGAGAACATGGACCCCTCTTTTTTAAAATGACATTAGGTTTGATTACGTATGAAGATTATTTGTACCAATTTTTATGAAAAAGTCGATAATGGAATTTTTTTTAAATTAGATAAATATACAGCAGAAAATGACGTTTTTTTCCCAAACCCATGGAACTTTGATAAAAATAAATTATTTCCAAGAATTTTTTTCCAAAATTAGAGCATACTTATGTAAAGAAGATTTTCTAGATGTTTTTACAAAAATCCGCGTGTGTTTATCTTTTGAAACAAAAGAGTAAGGCATGTCTATCCAAAGGATAAAAATACAAAAAAAAACTTAATTTCTGGTAAATGTCTAAAAATTTGACCCCATTTATCTCCGAAATTAGCATATGAAGGTATATTTTTTATTACATATTTAAATTGCCTGGGTGAAAAATAGCTTGTAAGCAAATCTTCGTAAAAAAATCAATATGGGATCAAAACTGTATCGTATGCCCTTAATAACGTAATATGCAAGCGGGGCATCATCTGTGTCCCATATCGTTAAAATGCGATTTATTTCTCGTTTTTTCTTCTAAAAGGCTTTAAATTTAGTATTATAGCGCAATACACAATAGGATATTATGATTCACTTCACATGAACTCCAATGTTTTTTGTAATACCACAGAATATTGAAAATATATTAGCTTTTAATGTGCTTCGAACAAATCATAGATTTTCGAATGTTCATCGTTGCATTCCGATATTGGCACACTTTCAATGACAGTATAGGTATATAATAACCATACGTTATCTAAAATATATAAAATTTATTTGTACCAGGCTTATAAAGAGGAAGAATGCGAGGCTTTGGCGAGCATTTCTACATCCTGTTTCGAGGCCTTGACTCCTTACGCATGCGGAGCACGATAGTGTTGTGTAATATAGTATAATGGACGTGACATTGTTTTCATGGCAGCACAACACAAATGGACACTTGGCGTCGGGTATTTCCAAATACGTATTTTAGTTTTTCGTTAAAGGTAAAGGAATTCCAAGAGGATCAGATACATGCCGCTAGGAATGTTCCAAATCATCGTATTTTAATAGAGACTGATTCGCCCTACTGCACAATTCCTTCAAACATACGGATTAATAATCCGCGTAGAATTGGACAAGTTGCCATGATTTTGGCAGGTTTAAGGGGTCAGCCAGTGGCTGAAATTTTTGCATTAACCATGGAGAATGGCAAAAGTCTATATTGCTAAATAGTGAACTGTGTTATATATTAGTTTAGCAGCCTGCAGGAGACAGGTTTATTCTGAAATGTAAATAGAGCAGATTCATGTGGACATAGAAAATCAGTTGTAAATTGTGATTGCAAATTACATCAGATGTGAATAGATTGTGTTTAATACATCTATATATATATCAAGGAATGATATGCTAGTTATAAATTAACTCCGCAGAGCGACAACGGAGCAATTGTGGAATTTTGAAATATGTGTGTTGTTGAAATGTCAACATTGGAAAATATATATATTTGGAGATTTATTTGTATCCCCGTGGTGCGACCAGACGGGGTGGACTAAAGGAAGATAGTTTATATTCGAATAGGAAGTAAACTCACTCCTTTCAAAGTGGGGGGGGGGGGGGTGTTGTGTAATATAGTATAATGGACGTGACATTACTATGTAGACAGTACGGTAGTTAGATATACCGCGTAGCCCGGTTCCCGGAATGATCCATTGTAAACTACCTAACTCAGGATAAGATCTCAGATAGTTACCAGGTAACGAGAGTTGGCGTATTGGCGGGAATAAGGACGCAACGAATAATATATTACCAGAGAGTATCAGAGGGTATTTGGTAAGTTAGTACAATTAGAGGCGTTGAATTGTATTAGTAGTATTAGTACTGAGTGATAATACTCGGAAATCACATCAATATGCTTATCCTACTGGTATAATTGATATCACTCCCGATTTTTATAGGATTTTATATACCCAATATAGATAAGATGATGTAGTATGAGTGCCAATGAGACAACTCTCTATCCAAGACACAATGTAGTTAAGTAAGCAATTATAGGTTACAGTACGGAGCCTTGGCTCACACCGATCAGCAAGCTATAAAGGGCACCAAAATGACCAGTGTAAAACAATTAAAACGGGAAAACCAACGGTCTAATTTATATACAAAAGTAAAAACAAAAAACACCTATGAACTACACCACTAAACGACAACCACTAAACAACCGTAACGTAAATTTAGAATATGACAGTACTTACAGTTACTGAAAGCTAGTTAAAAGCCAAACAGAATTAAAAAAAAAAAATCATGTATCAGAGACTAAACAATGTTTTCAGTGTTGTTGGGGATTTTAATAGGTATTATTTGTCGTGTGTGTTTTAAGTACGTCTGTCATGGTTTGATTCGGATCCCTAGGTCATGTATTGTCCCACTGAATGTTTTATTACTTTTCGCTTTGGTAATCCTATAGTATTAGTTTTTATGACTCTTTATATGGGGTATAAGTGGCCTGTTGAAAGACAAAGTTACTGACACTATTACCCATTTCTTATTTTCTTTTTATATCTCTGACCTTAACAATTAAATAAGTGATAATATTAGTTATCTTGGTGTAATCAGGAGTGGGGAGAATTTTACACCGGTGTATCAAAATTCATACACCCTGATGCAAAGCCGACGGGTATATGCATTTTCAACGCCGGTGTGAAATTCCGTTCATTCTGATCACACCAAGATAACGAATTTATTTCTTATGAAGTTTCAAATCTTTTCGTCGCCGTCTAAGCAAACTTAAATGAATAAATTATTCCCCTTTAATGACTACATAAGCCAAAAAAACCCGCATTGAAACAAAATATTTTGTTTATTTTTCTTAATACAACAATTAATTATAACACAAATTATTGTTTTTAATCATGGAAATGTATTTAAATGTTTAAAAATTCATATTTCTGCCCGTAATTAAATATTACCAGAAGTCCATTCCTAGTAATAGAAATGACGTGGATAGTTAACAATATAAACGGTTGCAAGATTAATTTCCCGAAAATAAGGGTCTGAGAATCTTTCAGGAAATTTATCAAAGTTGGAATTCTGTTTTAGGAAATTGTATGGTTACCTTATTGAATTAGTTCTGTCACAACATTGAAGGTTTAACTGTTGTGACACTAATCGGGCTAACAATATGAATAGTTGTTGGATTCATTTCCTAAAAATATGAAGGTATGAGAGTCTTTCAGGAAATTTACCAAAGTTAGAACTATATTTTGTAAATGTAAATATTTCATTTAACAGCTGTTGTTCTGTTAGTGTCTACTATTATGGTTGATTGGCGATTTAAAAAAAAAGAAAGTCTGAGACATCCAGAATATAGTTCAGTCCCTAGGGAACATTTCAATATCCGAAACCTTTTGCAAAGACAACTGTTAAAAACTAGTAGTGCACTAATTTTTTTATGTTTCTACCACTAAAGATGTGAGAAAAGTTCTGTGACAATCGATTTTCGGATTTTTTACAGTCGTGTTGCTTTGCACCTAGGGGTTTCAGAAAAAATATGTTGCCATATATATTATCAGTTTCATCAATATATTCCAATAGTTTAGAAGATTTCACCATTTACGTAAAATCCGTTTTTTATCAATGAATGCCCTAACGGTATAGGCAGCAAAATCCACATCAACAATGCTAAATATTTATCAAAGGTACCAGGCTTTTTTTTCTACGTCAGACGCGCGTTTCTTCTATACAAGACTCACCAGTGACGCTCGAATCAAAGTAATTATAAGGCCAAATAAAGTACAAGGTTGAAGAGCAGTGAGGACCAAAATATTCAAACGGTTATGCCAAATACGGCTAAGGTAATTTTGCCTGGATTATTTCTTTAGTATTTCGAATAATTAATAGTTTTTCAAACAGTAAATTTATAAAAAGAGGCTCTCAAAAGCCTAAATCTGCTCACCTGTAATTTTTTGCATTAATCTTTCATCATTTTTTGAAAATTAACAAACATGATGAGCAAATT